ATTATTGTTGTTTGGCGGGCCCGGGCTGGATTCGAACCTGCCACCTTAGGTGTATGTGGCTGGCACCTTAGCCACTTGAGCCACAGGCGCCGAGCCGAGAACTTCAATAGTTTAAAAAATTTCTTCTTAGCCAGATACAGTGGCTTATAGCTGTAATTTTAGTACCCATGAGGGTGAGGCAGAAGGATCGCTTAAGCCCATCAACTTGAGTTTGTTGTGAGCTATGATGACACCACAGCACACCACCCAGAGAGACAGGGCCAGATGCTATCTCAAAAACAAACAAAAAAGGTCTTCTCTTTAAATATTCACCTCATAAAACCAAATCAGAGGCAATCTGATAGTATATTTATAGTAGTACATTTGGATATAGCTCAGTGCTAAGAATTCTAAGATAATGCTCGGTACTTTAGATAACAGCTTGAATCAAATCTAGTTCGTCGAAAATTGCGTATCGCTTAATCTATAGTAAAGAATAAAAAAATTCAAGGTGGCGCCTGTGACTCAGTGAGTAGGGCACTGGCCCCATATACCAAGGGTGGTGGGTTCAAGCCTAGCTTTGGCCAAACTGTAACAACAAAAAATGGCCAGGCATTATGGTGGGCACCTGTGGTCCTAGCTACTTGGAAGACTGAGGCAAGAGAATCACCTAAGCCCCAAAGCTAGAGGCTGCTATGAGCTGTGATGCCACAGCACTCTACCGAGGGTGATAAAGTGAAACCCTGTCTCTAAAAAAAAAAAAAGAATAAAAATTCAAGTTGAACTTAATGTTGAATAAAGAAAGACAAATACAAAAATAATAATAAAGTATAAAATCAGCCAAAACTAATTTGTCCTGCTGCAAATTAAGGTAGTAGTTATCCTTGGTGGGGCAGTTAGTGAACTAGAAGACATCATGAATGAAGTGTCTAGGGCAGTGGTTCTCAACCTGTGAGTCGGGACCCCTTTGTAACAATGAAAATACATCCCAGCATTAAGAAGGTTGAAGACCACTGGTCTAGGGTATTAACAATGTATTATTTCTTTTTTTTTTCTTGAGACAGTCTCATTAATAATGTCGCCCTCAGTAGAGTGCTGTGGCATCACAGCTCACAGCAACTTCAAACTCTTGGGGTTAAGCAATTCTCTTGCCTCAGCCTCCCAAGTAGCTGGGATTATAGGCACACACCACAACACCTGTCTAATTTTGTTGCAGTTGTCATTGTTGTTTAGCTGGCCCAGGCTGGGTTCAAACCTGCCAGCTTTGGTGTATATGGCTGGTGCCGAGCCAGACAATGTATTATTTCTTAATTCAGGTGCTGGTTACATAATGTATTTAGTTTGTAGATATGTATATTTATGAGGGGTCACATTGTTATTTACATACAGCAGCACCTCCCTACATTGACCACTTCCTTTAGTTGACCTAATTTTC